TCTGTTCTTTAAAATAAAAATGAAGCAATAAAAATGAAATTTAGATAACTTGTTTGTCAATAGTACTGTGAATGAGAACAGCCTTTACAAATTAAATCATAACTTCCTTGCCTAACAAACATCTATCACTTACTAAAATTAACAAAACTAAGCTGGTCTCCCTTCATTTCTGAGAGTTGCAAATGGCAAAACAATTAAAAAAAAGTCACAAAAAAAACCCAGTGGGAGATGCTAAGAAATAGCTTAAACAAACTAGAAACTGGTTAATTTACTTACAGCCTACAATTCACAAAAACTGCAGCAGGATTTCAATGTCTTCTCATGTCTTCACATGCAGGATTTAACCATTTGTCCTACTGTCCCTAATTTATGACACACTGATTTCCTACATCTATGTTGTACAAAATCGGAAACCTATAATTATTCTCTAAGACAGTGGTAGATCTGTGAGCTCAGAATGGTTCTTACATTTTAAAATAAAGTTTTATTATTTTTAAAATTGCAAAAAACCCATTCAGAGCTTGTTGACATACACAAACACCAAGTTGGAATTTGCCCATCCCTGCTTTAAGTAATAGACAATATATACTATGTTTAAGTTTCAGGAAGAAAAAATGCCAGTGAAAATGTGAAGACAGCAATAAAGACAAAAATGACTAAAGTACTTCTATCTGAATTTAAATAAATGCCATATTGCTCACTATATGGAAACTATTTTGTGTCATTACTTTTCAGTATATACCAACATAAATTTTTTCCTTTCAGAGAGCTTCTTTTACAAATATAACCTCTATTTGGACCAACACAACAAGTAAGAATTAGATAACCAAATACTAAATTTTTTTTAAGATCATACTCTCAAATAAGAGATCTTAACCTGGAGTCCATCCACGAATCTGCTTAACATTTTGATAATTGTGTTATTGTTGTTGTTGTTCAGTCGTGTCCAACTCTTCGTGACCTCACGGACAACACAATCCATGAGGTTTACTTGGCAAAGATACTGGAGTGGCTTGCCATTTCCTTCTCCAGCAGATTGAGGCAAACAGAGGTAAGTGACTTGCCCAGGGTTACACAGCTAGTAAGCTATCTGAGTCTGGATCTGAACTCAGGTCTTCCTGACTCTAGCACTCTATCTACTATGCGACCTAGCTGCCTTTTGATAACTGTAGTTCAACATAATTGGTTTGCGATCATATCTATTATGTTTTATGCATTTAAAAATACTGCTCCTAAAAAGCAGTCACAGGATTCATAAGACTATCTAAAAAGTCCATGGCACACAAAAAAGGTTAAGACCTCCTCTCTGCTCCAGAACAATAATGTAACAGTCAAGCAAAATCTTTCCCACTGACTAATAGTACCAATTAAGAATGAGGAGTCAACACCATAACATTACAACAAATGTGAAATGACAAAGATCCTGCCGCACAAAAGCACACACAGCTTCACACAATTAGCCTCCTCTATGTCCTCTGATGATCCTTTTCTAACTCATCCGCTGGGAACCACTGTTTACTATTCTAATGAAATGCTCAAAGACAGCACACAAGTACTCACTCAATAGCTTCCTGCATTTATCTTTTGGGCTTTCCTCTACATGTCTATTTTGATAATTCTATAGAAATATTTTGAAGCTCCTCAATTCAAAAAAAAACCAAACCTGTGCTAATAATAACCTTTCTTCCCTGCTAATGCTCCAGTAAAGATACTGGGGTCTAATTCAGGCTCTGAAACTAAGCTGGAGGGTGACTTTGGTCATTTCACTTTTTCAAACTTTGAGCATCTTTATGTGCATAATGACAGGGATGAAGTTGAGAAGGGATGTAATTTAAGGTCCTTCTAGCTCTAAAATTTTAAATGTTAAGTGCTCATAATAAATACAATCAAGTAGAATATTTTAATAGTATTTATTGTTGAATGGGAATCCTTTATTTGGTATGATCACGATTAGGTCATACTGTAACAGTAAAAGAACTAAACATTAACAGACTACTGCACTTAGAACAAGTTGCTGGTAGCAGCAGAACAAAGTAGAAGCCCACACTCTGCCAGCAACCATCTCACTGAACCCCAGTTTCCTCCTCTGTCATAACACTGTTATCACAACTCGCTGTGCCTCCCTCACAAGGGCCTGCTCTTGTAAGAGTCAACATTTATTTAGTGTTTGACAGTTTACAAATGAAATGAAATACATTAAAGTGCACTGTAAACTGTAAAATGCTACACAGAGGTAAGGGGGTATTATTTCATCTCCAGCTTCCATCTATGAGAATGTAGCAGCATTTGATAAATGTTTGTTCAATGAAAGGAAAAATTGGTCTCATTTACAGTATGTATTCCTGAAAAGCACTGCAAGTCAACATAATGACTGAAGTAAAGTAAAACTATACAGGTTAAAAATATGAGAAAGTCAGACAGATGGAAGGAAATGAAAGTAAAGGAAAATATAAAAGTTTATTAGTCTGTCAGTGTGTTTCAAACTGAGACTTCAAGAAGTCTGAGATTTAAACTCAGCTCCCTTCTCTCCCAAATGATGTATATGTGGGTGTGGGTGTGTGGATTCTCTTCTCTGATATATATAAAAGTAGCCCTGCCTGAGGTTTTAATATGATTTTTCTCTGTTTTGGAAGTCACATTCCAACCTCCAGCTGGTCAGTTTTGTCCTTTAAAGGCTACTGGGCCATACTGTATAAGAGGGAGCAACTACTACTTCAAGAATACTCAGTAATCCAATGGAATGTAAGTTCAGAGACTACTCCCACGATACTGAGAATCCTATTAGGGAAAAAAAGCGCAATGCAGATCTACAGTCTTTAAATATGGATTCTATTTAAATGGAGGCACTGGAACAATATCTTAAACAGTAGTTATTTGTTTTCCACTCCACAAAAAAAATTTGAAATTGGAAATGCTTTCTGTAATTAAGTCTTTCCCATTTAGCAGACTTGGCCTTTCTGCACTCTCCCACCATGTTTTTAATATGAGAAGAAGCCAAAAGGACTGCTATTTACTTCCTTATTTGTCCAACTGCATCATCAATGAAGTAAGCAGAAATGCGGACAACCTTGGAAAGAATATTTGTTAACTAGACATTTCAGCAGAGCCAGCTGAGGAGAACCCAAAGTAATATAAAATATGCCTTGAATATGTCTCACAAAGATAGTTGCTCCCAATTTCTCTCAAGATTTTTGCTCTTCAAGAGCAAGAAGAACAAGTTTATTGCAGAAACTCTGGCCTGGAATAATGGGTTTTTAGTGATTTCCTGACTCTTTATTACCAGATTATATGAACCATGCCTCCTGACTGGCTTGCTCTATATGAAAAACTCAAATGAAAGCATTTGAAAAACCAATATAAAAAATATAAGTATCAACAGTAACTGTGTTTAGCTTAGTAATTAAGTACAATCACTAGCAATTACGTATTTCCTCTTTTTCTCTTAATAACTTAACAATAAATGACCTCAAATAATAGTTTTTAAAAGACAAGAACCATATCTAAATAATAGCTTTGTAACTATCCTGGTGCTGAGTAGTAGATTGTACATAGCAAGTGTTTAACAAATGATTAAATGAAAAAGGAAAAATATTAAATCTCTATATACTTCCAGTTAAAGGCATGCTATATATTCCTTAAATTCTTGTGATGCTTTGATAGCTTAGTGATTTTTATGATGGAATGTTCCCATTCTACTCCAAATTTTACTTTACCTCTATGTTTTTTGCAGAGCTGAAAGTTGTTCTTTTGGAATCAAGTAAAATTTAAAATATATTAAAAGATGTTAGAAGGTAGTCAGTTCATTGTATTTGGTTGTATAGCATTCCACCTGACATCTCATATTGGTGAGTACTCAATAATATATGGTGATAAAGACTGTCTTAAACATTTCAGTAAGGAAACTGAAGGTCCAGCCGCCCCAGGTAACTTCAACTCAACAAAGGATCATTAACTACCAGGCTAAACAAATTTTCCTTAATTTGTTCTTCTGTAAAATGATGGTATTGACATTCTGTCTTACAAAATTGTGAAAGATCAACATTTGATAAGTATTTAAATACACACAAGACAATACAACTATTTTCTGAGTGTCTCATATCTTTTAGCACTGCTTAGGCACTAAGTGGAGTAACAACAATTCACATTTATATGAGAATGTATAAACTTTAAAGTGGTTTTTGACATATGTCTGTTTCTTCATCTGCAGATGAAGTTTATACATTATTTCCATTTATAGATGAAGAAACAGGAGTTAAAAATCTTGCCCAGGGTCACACAGCAGTGACAAAGCAAGGGCCTGAATCGAGGTCTTCTGATTGTAAGACCAGGATTTTATCTAATACAGCCCAGTATGGTTTGGTTATAAAGTAACAAGACTGGTTTTCAAATAAATATATGAGAACTTATACATTCTTTTCAAAGTAATCACCTTATAAGGCAATATATTTATTATAATTGTACTAATATTTCTGTTAACATTTTAAAAACATTTTGTTTTAGAATTCTTTTCAAAATTACCTTGTAACCTACACAAGAAAATCATAATTACTTCATTAAACACAAACTTCACTAATGATAAAACTTTTTTTAAATCAAGAATACAGTTTATCACGGTTTTTTGTTTTTGTTTTTTTGGTGTCATGGACCTTTTTTTGGTAGTCTGGTGATGCTTATGGACTCTTTCATAAAATAATGTTTTAAATAATTAAAGAAAATGCTAAATTTCAACTGGATGCTACTGAAAATAAAGATGCTGAGGGCAGCATTATTAAAATTAATGTGTATCCTCTGAAGATGCCTACCCTAGTTCTTACTGAGTACAATATTCATTTGAATATGTAAAATGCAGTGTCTTCAAAAAGGTTACTACTTTATGAAGAGGATACAATGTAAACATTTAAACACCATATTGTCAATATAAACAGCAGAACTTTCTACACATACAGTATGAGGTTCCCTTTTCCAGAAGCAAATCTAAAATTATACTCTAAATATCTTACCATTTACAGCTTTTTCAATCAACTCTTCGCAAGCATCAAAATCACCCTTCAACACCAGTTTGTCATGCAGATCAGTTAACATGGGATGTTCCAGTGCAATCTTGGTTTTTTTCTGTAGTGATTCAAAAGCTTCAGTGTAGTTGTGCTGACGGAAGTGTTTTAGACAAAGGCGAATGGCCTCCTGTTCACGGTACTACTAGAACACAAGACAAATTAAAAGGAGGAGAGATTTGCTTTGTTGCAACTGCTAATAATGCAAAATACCAATTTAAAAGCCAGGACAACTACTACCAACAGGAGCAAAGTACTAATCACACCCGCCCGTTTTCCTAAAATATAAACATCTTTCTATACAAATGCTTAAAGCCACTGACTTTTTTGTCCAAGCATATGACAATCATGATAAGGGAAAGTAATACGTAAGTAACGTAAATAATCATTTCTACAACTATTTGAAATTATTTATATAAATATGCCAGTGAACATTTATAGCACTATACACTTCAGAAGAAAAAAATGGGTCCTTTTCACTAAAAGAAAATAAATGTAAGTATTACATAAGAATAAGTATAAACATGGGACATTTAGGAACTAACCTCATTATACTCTGAAGGTGAAGTAGGTCATGGTGCTTAATGTGTTTGCTGCTCAAGAAGTATTACATAATAGCTTTCATATTTGAGTAAGACAATGGTTATTACCAGACATTTACATACTCCCACCTCCATACATATAGAATACTAGACTATTCAGTTTCTCTGTCCCTACAAAAGGATAATATTAAAAAACCCCAATTTACCAGACATGTCCCGCTCCTCAACAAAGGATAGATATCAAATAACTGATTTTTCCAGCCCAAATTCCCTTTAGAATATACTATTAAAAAGAAGGGATGTTGAAGCCAGAAACGCAATTGCTATACTTTCTAAAGCTACCATACTATACAATAAGATACAATAAGATTTAATCATAAGGATGATGACATTAAAAGTATCACAAGATGCTCTGAAGGAGAAACTTTCAATTGCCATCCTATATTTAGTGAGGCAGGAATACCAATCAAACTTTTGAAAAAGATTTGCCCAACAAGGATCAAAACAGAACAAAACAAACAGGTCACAAGACTCTGCCATTAGCCCTTTTCTCTTTCTAAATTTTCTCCATTTTCTCTTTCATCTACTCCTATGACTTCAATTATTATTTCTATGAAAATTTAATTAACTGAATTTGTGAAACATTTTAAAAGTGTCTATTTAAGACACTGTACCTGCCCTCATATTTCTCCCTAAAACCTCAATTCTGGCCTTCACTGGCATTTTGCATGATGTACTCTGCATGTAAGTTAAATAAATAAGGTGACAATACACAGCCTTGTACTCCTTTTCCAATCTTTAACCAATCAGTTGTTCCATGTTCAATTCTAAAATGTTGTTTCTTGTCCCACATACAGGTTCCTCAGGAGAAAAGTAAGATGATCTGGTACTCTCACCTCTTTGAGGACTTGCCAAACTTGGTGCGATCCATAGTCAAAGACTTCAATGTAGTCAATGAAGCAGTAGATGCATTTCAGAAACTCCCTTATTTCTCCATACTCCAGAGAATGTGGGCAATTTGGTCTCTAGTTCCCCTGCCTCTTTGAAAACTAACCTGGTCTTCTGGTAATTCTCAGTTCACATAATGCTGAAGCCTAGCTTGCAGAATTTTAAGCACAACTTTGCCAGAGTGTGAAATGAGCCTGCACAAGTATTTATTAAACAGCTACTCTACAGCTGGCACTAAGCTAAGGAATACACACAAAAAATATATAGCCTCAAGGAACTTATAGCCTAATAGAGGAGAAAAGACTTATATAAAGAGAGAACAATACAGGATAAGTATATTATTCAGTTGCTTTCAGTTGTGTCCAACTCTTTATGACCCTACTTGGAAGTTTTCTCAGCAGAGATACTAGTTAAGTTTGCCATTTCCTTCTCCAACTCATCTAACAGATGAGGAACCTGAGGCAAACAAGGTTAAGTGACTTGCCCAGGGTCACAGTTAGTAAATGTCTGAGGCCAAATTTGAACTCAGGTCTTATCCAGGCCCAAAGCTCTATCCACAGTGCCACCTGGCTGCCTAATAAGCATATTAATCAAGTACTAAACCAAAGGTCATCAAATATCAAAATATACAGAGCCAAAAAAGTGAACTGTTTTAGGAGACAACAAAAAATTCCACAGGTAAAAAGCTTACAGGAAAAATGCTATGCTTCCCCATCCTTTATAAGTAACATTTTTCCACCTAGGAATTATGTATCAGCTTTGCCTTTTCAGGTACTCTTATGAAAATGCCACAAGGAAAACAAACATATTAGTGACTGGCTCAAGGCTACAAAGCAACTTAGGGTATTCTAATTTACAATTAGAATACACTACCGATGAATTTCCTTTCCAGTTAACTAAGTCATACTTCCACTGACCATTATAATAATTATCCTAGAATATCTGAATACAGAGGATAACTGTTGTTGTTTGTTCTTTATTTTCAAAGAGGATCAATTACAACACAGGGTGATGCCTTAACTCATGCGTGAACTGGATTTAAGTGAGGCAGAGCTGTATAAAGTCATCGGTCTCACTGAGTCAGTCCAGTGGCAAGACAAAAGTTAGGATGCATGGCAATGGCCCAGGATGCAGTAGATGACCTCGGCATCTTCAATGTCTGATCAGGTGCTGAGCACTCCACAGCCCCTACTTCAGCCTCCTTCATGGCCAGTGGAACAAATTATTCTCATTTGCTCACTCCACTGAGGGAAGTCTTCACATGCTTGGTGTAGATATCTTACTAACTCACCAACAAGTTTGAGGCCCATCTGAGATGGTTTACCAAGGTGTGACTGCTGCACATGCTACAATTCTTAGAGCCACAGGTAAAAGTTGAGTGCCACCAAAAGTGGATGAGCAGCTCTGCAAAGGACTCAGCAAGCTCTTACACTGGAGATGCCAATCCTCCTTGAACACTCCATATAACCCATGGGTACAGCAGGACCCTCTAAACTCTTTTTGCCCTGGGCAAAACTGATATATAGGAGAGCTACACACTTAACTGAAAAAGATTTATTTCTATTATCACACTAATCTAAGCACAGATCATTTCCTTTATTGAGTAAACAGAAGGTCATACAGGAAGCAAGGTCTACAAGAATATAAAACAATATACATATCCTGACTTCCCTAGGACCTATCAATCTGGATCTCAGAAAAGAAAGGTGGTTTAGTTTTTAATGGTTCAATATTATTGGGATGGCAAACAAACCGGGTAGAGAAGTTTAAGTGCAGAAGGAAACAGGAAATCAAATCTCAAGAAACTGTATGGAATATTGATCTTAATGTAACAATGTAACTAGGGCAAATTTGCTTATGGGGGGGTGGGGGGGGAACAGGTCTTTTCCATTCTGTTGTGGTATTGAATAGCAGCTATTGAAAGATTGGACAAAAAAGGTTTAGGAAAACCTAGTATATATAAAAATTCTATTATTAAGTTAAAAAAAAATTATTTTAAATCTTTAAAACATTAATTTTACAGAAAATGGATAATTAGGTAGCATAGTAAATAGAGCACTGGGCTTGGAGTTAAGAAGTCCTGAATTCAAATCCATGGCAGATACTTACTAGCTTTGTGACTCTAGGCAAGTCACTTTAACTTCTGTCAGCCTCAGTTTCCTCATTTGTAAAAGGGTATAATAATTTTTTTAAAGATAAAAATGGGATAATACTGAGAAAGTGCTCTGTAACCTTAAAGAATTATATAAATATTATTGTTATTATTATCCTGTACTACATCTGAATGTTTATATGTCATTTGCCATGGTAGGGAAAGGAGAGTGAAGAGGAGGGAAGCTAAAGTGTTAGAAGCAGTGTCATATATATAACATGATATAATATATAATAATCATTCTATTTAATAAAATAAACGCCTAACCTTTCAGAGTATCAGTTCAGTACTACGTAAAACAACCTTCCCCCTCTTTGAGCTATGTATAAGTGTTGTTCATTTTATCTGCCCCTTCAGCCTCCTCACCCCAGAACACATGCTATGCCATCCTCCTTCTTCCACTGGTGAGTTCCTCCTGGTGTCTTCATTTTGGGAAGGGGCCAAGGCCATCCAAACTTCATTCCCTAATCAGCTCAGCTTCAGACTTTCTAGACATCAATACTATCCCTGTCCCATGCCCACTCCCTATTTTTCTATTCCCTTTTGTAAACTGTATTCCCTCCTTAGAATGTAAGCTCTTTGAGGGCAGAGGCTATCTTTTTCTTACTTGAGTTCTCAACGTTTAATACAGAACCTGGTACGTAGTAAGAGCTTGAGAAATGTTTACTGACTAGTAATTCTACTCTGTATCATACTGCTTCTCAAGAACAAGCTTATACATTTCATATTAAATACATTTTTCTAAAATCAATATATATTTTATATCCTGTTGGAGCTAGATGGTTTGGCAATGATAATAGTAGTGCTCTGGGTAAAGCTTCAGGGTCAAATGTATATAATTCTCAGGATATTAATATAATTCTCAATAAATGTTTCTTTATTAACCAGTAACTTACAGGGCTTTGGAAATGCAATAAAAGGGTTTTAAATTAAGTCCTACCTTGCTATACCAGTTGAGACAGGGTTGCACAACATCGGGATCATCAATGCCATTAAGTTCAACATACCAGATGCTAAAGTTAAAGCTGGGTCCCCAGGACAAGAGAGGAACTTAAGAGAAAGGGAAAAAAAAGGAAACATTTTAAAATGTGTACATTTCAAATAGAATACTACCAAATAACAAAAAAGGCTAATAGTATAGGAAACGCAGGAGTAACCTAAAACCTACAGAACTGTCTATGGGAACCTCCTCCAATGCTATAGATCAAAAGGTGGATCACACTCAACCTATGACTTAGTAGATCAATCCTAGGGAGCTGCCTAGGACATACATAGGTGCAGTGTCTTGTCAGACTGACAAGGCTGACAGAGCTAGTAAGTGTCCCAGTGGGAATCTGAGTCCAGATCTCCCGGACTCAATGAACCCAGAACACACTTCACTCTAGCACTCTACTATGTAGGCCTTACACTAAAAAACTGACAGTTAAGTTCAAGGAATAATTCATTTAACCAGATTTTTAGTGTTCCTTTGCATTTGAATTATAAAACGAACACTGTATGAAAGTCTAAGTAAAATGGTTACACCAATACAAACATGACAAGCAAAGGATCCTTAAAACAAACATAGGTAGTCTTAATATATGACAAATACATGAGCCTAGAATGCCTTGTTCAATAGCACAAGGTGCTGATTTTTGTTAAACATCAATTAAATTTACAAGGATAAATACACATTAACTTTAAATATTTAACTTATCTCATCATTTGTGCTTACAGTAGGCTTAGGAACAGGTTGTATAAAAAACACACTCTAAGTCACCTGTTTGGGTATTAGACCACATCTTCCCTCAGAATGTTAAAGAAAGTCTGCTTCACAAAAATCTACTCAGTCTAGAATATACTTCAAATATGGAAACAGAGAGAAGAATGATATTAGAGAGAGAGCCCTGAACTTCAAGTCAGGAAACATGAGTTCTTTCTTACATCTGTGCCATCCTCTCTCATTGCAAGTTAACATGAAGATAGTACAGGCCTTCATTAACATCCACCTAAACTAGTAAAATATGCTTTAGGTAGATTTTCCCACAGCTCTACTCTTCCTGCTCTAATCCAGACCTCACACTGCTGCCAAAAATTATGTCTTATCATACTGTCTCTCTGCCTGAGAACCTTCTTTGTCATCCTAATGGCCACCAAACTCCCTTCCTAACTTCAAATCAACAAATCAATTGGCCCTCCAATCAAATTAACAAACCAATAAGCTTTATTTTTATTTTTTTAGCTTTATTTTTTAAATTTCAATTCCTTTATGAAGATAATTTTGGTATAAAATTGAGAGACAAAACATTTTTCCCTAAAATCACTAGATAAAATGACCTAGGATTTTTTTTAAGGTCCTAAAAAGGTCATCCTCTTGCAACCTACAGGTTTCTAGAAATGCAGAACATTAAGGATGATGGGTAATAATGTAAGGACTTAAATTCAATGAACATTCTAAAATATCTACTATGAAGATAAAAGGGATTATATGTGCCTGGGAATGCAAAGAAAAAGAAGATATGTGCCTTGCCCTTGAGGAGTTCACAATCTAGTATGACAGAACAGCTATGTAAACAAATATAATTTTGTTGTTAATCAGTTTTTATTTTACTTTATGCATTTTATTTTTTCCAATTTATTTATTTTTTAATTTTCAACATTTACTTCCACAAGATTTTGAGTTCCAAATTTTCTCCCCATCCCTCCCCTCCCCATACCCCATGACAGACTGCATTCTGATTCCCATTTCACCCAATCTGTTCTCTCTTCTATTACCACCTCCTCATCCCCTTTCCCTTCTATTTTCCTGTAGGTAAGATAGATTTCAATACCCCTTTGCCTGTGTATCTTATTTCCCAATTGCATGCAGAAACAACTTCCAACACTGGTTTCTAAAATTTTGAGTTCCAAATTCTCTTCCCTCCTCCCCATCTCGTTGAGAAGGCAAGCAATTTGACACAGGCCATAGATGTGTAGTCATGCAAAAACACCTTCACAAAAGTCATGTTGTGAAAGACTTAACTATATTTTCCTCCATCCTATCCCAGCCCCCATTTATTCTATTCTTTCCTTTGTCCCTGTCCCTCCTCAAAAGTGTCTGCTTTTGGGGCACCTAGGTGGTGCAGTAGAAAGAGCACAGACCCTGGAGTCAGAAGGACCTGAGTCCAAATCCAGCCTCAGACACATAATACTTCCTACTTCCTAGCTGTGGGCAAGTCACTTAAGACCAACTGCCTCACTTAAAAAAAAAAGTATTTGCTTTTGATTACCCCCTCTCCTAATCTTCCCTCCCTTCTGTTCCCTTCTCTCTTATCTCCTTCCCCTCCACTTTCCTTTAGGGTAAGATAGATTTCCATACCCAATTGGATGTGTATGTTACTCCCTCTATAAACCAAATCTGATAAGAGTAAAGTTCACTCATTCCTTCTCACCTCCCCCATCTTCCCCTCCACTGTAAGTTTTTTCTTCCTTTTTATGTGAGATAATTTATCCCATTCTACCTCTCCCTTTCTCCTTTTCCCAGTACAATCCTTCTCACACCTTAATTTTCTTTCAGATATCATCCCTTCATATTCAACTCACCTTGTACCCTCTGTCCTTACATATTCCCTCCAACTGCTCTAATAATGAAAAGGGTCTCATGAGTTACAAATACCATCTTTCCATGTAGGAATGTAAACAGTTCAACTTTAATAAGTCCCTTATGATTTCTCTTTCCTGTTTACCTTTTCATGCTTCTCTTTTTTTTCTTGTTTGTGTTTTTGTTTTTTGGTTGTTTTTTTTTTTTGGTGAGGCAATTGAGTTAAGTGACTTGCCCAAGGTCACACAGCTAATACGTTTCAAGTGTCTGATGCCCCATTTGAACTCAGGTCCTCCTGACTCCAAGGCCTAAGCTCTATCTACTGCGCCACCTTGCTTCCCCTCATGCTTCTCTTGAGTCTCGTATTTGAAAGTCAGTTTTTCTATTTAGCTCTGCCAATTTTTCCCCCTCATTGATTACACTCAGTTTTGCTGGGTAGGTGATTCTTGGTTTTAATCCTAGTTCCTTTGACCTCTGGAATATATTGCAAGCCTTCTACTCCCTTAATATAGAAGCTGCTAAATCTTGTGTTATCACGATTGTGTTTCCACAATACTTGAATTGTTTCTTTCTGGCTGCTTGCAATATTTTCTCTGTGACCTGGGAACTCTGGAATCTGGCTATAATATTCTTGAGAATTTTCCTTTGGGGATCTCTTTCAGGAGGATTCTTTCAATTTCTATTTTACTCTCCAGATCTAGAATATCAGGGTAGTTTTTCTTGATAATTTCTTTGACAGATGATGTCCAGGCAGTTTTTTGTTGCTGCTGCTGTTGTTTTTTTAATCATAGTTTTCAGGTAGTCCAATAATTTTTAAGTTATCTTTCCTGGATCTATTTTCCAGGTCAGTTTTTTTTTCCCAATGAGATATTTCACATTGTCTCAATTTTTTTCATTCTTTTTGGTTCTGTTTTATAATTTGATTTCTCATAGAGTTATTTGTTCAATTTATTCCATTTTAATTTTTAAGGAATTATTTTCCTCAGTGAGCTTTTGGACCTCCTTTTTCATTTGGCCAATTCTGCTTTTTAAGGCATTCTCCTCATTGGCTTTTGGACATATTTTGCCATTTGGTCTAGCCTAATTTTTAAGGTGTTATTTTCTTCAGCATTTTTTGGGGTCTCCTTTAGCAAGCTCTTGACTCATTTTTTATGATTTTCTTGCATCAGTCTCATTTCTCTTCCCAATTTTTCCTCTACTTCTCTTACTTGATTTTCAAAATCCTTTTTGAGCTCTTCCATCACCTGAGATGACTTCACATTTTTCTTGGGGACTCTGGATATAGGAGCTTTGACTTTGTTGTCTTCTGGTTGTATGTTTTGATCTTCCTTGTCACCAAAGTAAGATTCTACAGTCTGACTTTTTTTCCTCTGTTTGCTCATCTTCCCAGCAAATTGCTTGACTTTTTAACTCTTTGTTAAAGTAGGGGTCTGCTTCCAGTGTGGAGGGTGTACTGTCCCAAGCTTCAAGAGTTTTGTGCAACTGTTTTCTTAGATACTTCTAGGGACTTATAAGTTTTCAGTTCTCCCAAGGTGGTTATGTTCTAAGAAAGGTGTTACTCCTCTCCTGGCCTGTGCTCTGGTCTGTGAGTGACCACAGGCACAATTTTCTGCCCCGGAAATGAGAAAAGGATTCCCTCTTCTCTGCTGTCACAAGCTCTGCTATGCCATTGCTTCTCCTCACCCCAGAAGCCACCCAGGACTGGGACCCAGATCCAAGCATGGGAAAAGCAAGAGATTCTTGCCTCTTCACCAGCAAAGACATCCCTACAATCCCCCTCTGATCAGCTGCTCGATCACCCCACCATCTGTGGACCAAGAGCTCCAGAAGCAGCCACTGCCACTGTGGCCCCCTCCCTGAGGCTGCGCTAGGACCAGGGCTGGACCGTGCTCCTCTCCCACCCACGTACAACAGACCTTTCCCACTGACTTTCCAACCTGTCTTTGGCATCTGTGGTTTGAGAAGTCTGGAAATCACCACAGCTCCCTTTGATTCCTAAGACCTACTTCGGGTTTGCTGGGCTCCAGTCTTTGCTGAAGAGGTTCACACTGAACTATGCTTCTCTCCTAGCCTGGCACAACAGACCTTTCCCATCAACCATCCAGGTTGTCTTGGGCTGGAAATGTGTTTTACTGTCTTTTTGAGGGTTCTGCTGCTCTAAAATTTGTTTAGCATCATTTTTTACAAGTATGTGGAGGGGTTTGGTGGAGAGCTCAAGCAAGAGCCTGCTTTTACTACCATCTTGGCTCCACCCCTCTTGGTCAGTCACCAATAAGCTTTATTAAATAGCTACTACTGTGCTAGCTGCTGAGGTTGGTAAGATGAAAATGAAACAGTTCCTGACCTCAATGAGTTTTTCTTACATTAGATTAGAAAAGACAACATGTATCTACAGAATATATATACAAAATAAACATAGCAAATTGGGAGGAATGGTAGCAGCAAGAGGGTGGGTGGAATCAAGAAATGTTTCAGGTTAAGGATGGTGTTT